CAGACCCTAGAGACACTCCTAACAATGAGAGGTCAATACAGACCCTAGAGACACTCCTAACACTGAGAGATCAATACAGATCCTAGAGGAAATCACTACAAGCCCTGGAATGAGCTCTAGAGGCAGCCCTCAGAATTGGCTTTATGAATTTATTGAACTCTTCCCACCCTCTCTAATCCCTGCTCCCTGCTCCCTTCCTTTCTCTCTCCCAGGGTCTGGAGGAGGAGTATTACAAGCTGCACAAGTGTCTGTCCAAAGCCTTTTTCTCACAGCAGAGTCTCTCCTAGACCACAGTGCCCCCTGCTGGACCCAAAGGTGAACTGACAGAGCATTTGTACTGCGCAGTGATCACTGAATTGATTTATTAGCATTAGTAATGAGTATGAGTGTGCTAAAAGTTCAGTTGTACGGCGACAGCATCACAATAATATTTCGGCTTCTTCTCTCTCCCTCTCCCTTGTCTCTCAGTAGATCACTGTTGTTGCTGGACTGTCTGATGGGGATTTACGGTTGGGGATGGATTAGTGATGTCTGGACTCCGCTGGCTAGTTTATGTCCCTCTACTCATCCTTTCTGGGTAGACTTTTCAATATTCTGCTTCTCTGCCTGGCCTCCCACTCTGTGAAGATTGAGAGTGGCCAGAGCCAGTCAAACCCAGGGCTTTGCTGTGAGGGGGAGGGGGGGGAGGGGCGGGGCATTCACAGGGGTTGGTACAAGACGAGTCCTGTGACCAATAAAGAGAAAGTGCTGTGTGCGAGTGGGCGTGTCCACTGCGGTGGCAGGAAATGCTTATTACATTATCATTGGGAAGGGTTTTCTGGATCGGGAGACCAGGGATCATAGGCGTTCTCGCATGTTAATTGGGTTAATGCCAACACGCATGGAGGATTAAGGATTTTTGTGAAATCTTCTGCTGAAACCGGTGAAAAACAGTACAATCTATCTGTATTTCTGTTCTGTGTATGGAATGCAGAACGATGTGTTTTAGAGTTTTAACATGTTTAGCTAGTTCATGTCAGCCCTTACCACATGTAAGGCAAGTTTTTACTTCACATGTCTCCCTTGATTGTATCTTATGAGACAATCATAATATATAACAGACCTTTCAGCACCACAGACTCTTCTTCCCACTCTTTCCTGGTTCAAATGCTGGAACAGTGAGATAATAGAATAGTGGACATTTTATAGATAATGAAATATCCATTTCCTGCACTAGTCTGGAGCAGAGAGCTTTAAAGGAGCCCCAGTCTCACTGTGCCCTGTGTCAGTGTTACAGGTAGAGACACAGCCCTTATAGAGTCAGGATACTCATCTCCCTGCAGTCTGGAGCAGAGAGCTTTAAAGGAGCCCCAGTCTCACTGTGATCTGTGCCAGAGATACAGATAAGACTTAAAGTCAGGCTGTTTCCAAAATCTAACATGGCCAAAACAAACTCACCTTGTAATGTTTTCTGCATGAGATTTGGGAACCTTTCTGAGGGACTAGAGTCAGTGATGGACCTCTATATATAATGGGAAATATTATTTTTTAAAATCAGCCAAAAACAGTTTTTTTTTCTTCAATGGTAGTGTTGTTTTATTTATTCCAGTTTCCTTTTTGGTGTGTGATGGCAGCCTGTGTTGCTATCTGAGGAGTCTGAGTGCCAGTACTGGGGGGCGTGTCCGTATGGGGGGGGGCGTGGCACCCCGTGATGCATGGGGCTCTTTGTCAAGGGAGGGGGAGGAGCCTCAGGCCTGGCCTGCGGTCACCATGGTTATTATTGCTGATGTTGGCTGCCGTGTCAGCGTGGCTGCAGGACAGGGGCAGCGCTTGTAGCTGGAGTTGGAGGGGACGGGTGAGAGAGGGTGTGAGCTGGAGGTAGCAGAGGAGTGAGAGGACAGTGGATAGGAAGATCAGACAAGGGATAGAGCCGGCTGGCTGGAGGGGTACAGACAGAGGAATGGAGACTAGCAGTGAGAAGGATGTGGTAGCTCTGCAGGTGGCCTGTTGCTCCTCTTGACTCTCCCTGGACCTGGAGCCCTCACGCTGCAGACGAGCTGACGCACACCGAGGGCCTGACTGCGGTATCGACCGGTCTGACTGCACTCGCTGTGTCACAGGACTGGACTGCTGTCCTGTCTCGCTGTGTGACGGGGCCTGACTGCGGAACCGTCCCGTCGTGCTGTGTGTGCTGTGTCACGGGGCCTGACTGCGGTACCGTCCCGTCATGCTGTGTGTGCTGTGTCACAGGGCCTGACTGCGGTACCGTCCCGTCGTGCTGTGTG